TAGTTTTGTTTGAAGTGTCTGGTTCTACTGAAGATTTGTTGTCTATCATTTTGTTTACAATTTCATTTCTCAATAATAGTAATCTTCTGAGTGATTATGGTTTGATTCATGTAAACATTCACCATAAGTTTGCCACTTTTAATTATGAGCAGCTGAATTTTTTTAAAAACAGTGGAAAACTAATGACTACATATTCTTCATATAGTGCTACTGTTGATCACACATTAAACAACTGTTCTTTTGTTAATAATACAAATGGCAATAGTAAGGACTGCATAATAGCTTTTCATGGCAGTCATGATAGTCTGCTTAATGTGACTTTAAATGAATTGACATATAAAGTTGGTAAACCTCATGTTAAATCTAATTTAAAATCTATATTTTACTTTCAATCAGTCAATCTTGTTGCTGAAAAATTGAACTTAACTGGCAGTGACAATGCAGTTGCTACAATGTTTAATCTTGACATGGTAAATGCTGTTTTCAATGGTAACAATACTTTCTATTACAATGAAGGTGATCATGGTGGTGGTTTGGCTATGAATGGAAGCTATTTTACAATAACAAAAGGATCAATCTTTACCTTTAACAATAACAATGCTTTTTATGGTGGTGCTATGTACATCAACACTACTCACTTTAACACTGCATTGATATGTAATGGTAAAGTCAAATTTATTGACAATCAGGCTCGTGTTGCTGGTCACTCAATTTATACCACTGACACTAATGTCAACATTAGTTTATTTAAAAACTGTTTTGAAGCGATGAAAGAAATTGTCACTGCTCCAAAGCACTTTACTGCAGCAATAAATTTGAAGCATTCTTTTTTCCCTGGTCAGTTTATTTTTTTACATGTATCTCTTGTTGATGGATTGGGCAATCCTGGTGCCTGTATAGCTGAAGTTTCTCTTAAATGTAATAAAACAGATACTGCAACAGACACTAAAGAGACTGGTTTTTGTGAGCGACTTTATCCTGAGCTTGGTTTGCAGCTTATAGGACCTAAAGAGACTTTCTTGTTTGGCAGAAATAAAACGGTGAATACTATGCTTCGTTTTGGTGTTCATTTTAATGTAACTCAAACAATCAATCCTCAACTACAAATTGCTTGTTCTGATCCACCATTACCAAATAATTCAATCAAAAACCTTTTTTTCTCCTGGACCAGCTTCTGTCCACTTGGATTTAGTGCAAATTTCACTAGTAAAGCTTGTGAATGTCGCCAAATTGTAAAGGAACTATTTTGTCCATTAGATTCTGGTGTTGGCTGTATAAAAAATGGTTATTGGACTGATGGCAGTATTGCTGTTAAATGTTCCTACCCATTATGTGATTCACGTCATTTACAAGAGATTCCCAAGACACAAATTTGCCAACAATACTATGGACAACAAGTGATAGCATTACCTCAGTCTCCAGATGATCAATGCTATACCAATCGGGGCGGTAGAAGATGTTCAAGATGCAGAGATGATTATTATTTAACATTCTTAGGAACAAAATGCACCAATAATTGTAACATTCCACTTTATCCAATCATTATTACACTTCTTACCATAGTTTTTCAGTTTATGATTGTTCTGTTTATACTGGCTGCTGTGAGAATTAAACTGGAGATAGGAGCTGGTTTTATGCATGGCCCTCTAATATTCTTAGCCATTATTGGTCAAATGCGGCTTGGCTATTATCATATTTTGAAAGTTATTGTCAGTTCCATTACTTCAGTGTATCTGGTAAAC